TAAGAAACAGAGCAAAAAGTCTTTTAAATGTTTTCCAAGTAAAATCACCTGCATGATGAAGAGTAGAACTGCTTGTAATAGAGGAGAAAAATAGATAATGGCTATGTTAATTATTTTTTTACAAGATTTTTGATTGGACGAGTTTTGTGCTTTGTTATGTTCTACAGTATTCTTCTTCTGGAAGGTGGTGTTGTAATAAGACTAGACTTCAGTAAGGACATGTTCAATTTTATATTTTTATATATATATTTTATATTTCTTTATTAAATCAGTTAAAAAATATTACTTCTGGTACCTGCTATTCAAAAATTTGGCTGAAACTCATAATAAAAATTAGCAAGAAGTTTAGATTTTTTTTCAGGGCACATGAATTTTTTTCTGTAACTCCAATACTATGGAGAAGGTGTGGAAAAGGGTCAGTAACACCGTATTCTTCATATAATCAGGAAGATCAGGAAATGTAGAACTAAATATAGAGAAAAGGGAAAGTTAGTGAATATATTTGCATATGCAAATTAGCTTAATTGATACTGCTTGCCTCTACAGGGATTTTTCATTACAAACTGGAGTGCTACATTGTTCAGCTCATATTGAGTAATTTAGTAACTAATGAGACCAGTTTGCACTAATTTGCATATGATAAATGAGCTTAATTGCAGTAAATAACTTGGAGGCATAATTACTTAATTTTCCTGTGTTGCATGGCTTTTAAGTTCACGTATGAACAACTCAAGATAATTTTGCATATTTAAATTAGTTGCTTTTAAAATTCTTGAACAAAAAAGAACACACCTTACAATTTTAACAATTAAAAGCAAAATGTGCAGTATTTTCAAATAAAATTTGATACCAGAATAGGCTGGAAAGATGGTATTAGTATTAATAATAAAACTGTGTATCTGAATGGTAGTGACTGATACATATTTTGTATTCTTGCATGAGAGAGTGATAACTTTGCTAATTGAATTCTTTCCCTCAGCAGTGCCTATTGACTGTAACACTTTCCTATAGCATTATATTACCATACACAACAACTTAGACACTAGTTGTCTTAAGTTGTCTATGCTGTCCTGCCTCTACCTAGCCTTGTGTGAAGAAGTCCTTAAATTGGAGAGATACCAAAGTGTCAGTGCCACAGAAATGTCTCTTTTTCCCTCTTTTTTTTTGGGGGGGGAGGGGAGGCTTGGTCAATGGTGAGTACTGTCATGAATAACCAGTGTGATGGAGATTTCTACCATGACTTTAAAAAAAACAACACAACCAAATAAAAACTCCAAGCCAAACCCAAAACCAAAATAGATGAAAGATCCCATTTTATTTCTGCTGTGTCACTAAAGTTATTGAACTTTTGATAGAATTGAACTACTGAACTAGACAGGGGAAAAAGGTCAAACACCCAACAACTAATCTCATGAACAATTCAGTCCCATAGTGAGTTCAGTTGTGCCCCCATGATTTACAAGTGGATGACAATTGCTGAATTCTCCTTCTGTGCTGTAAAGGGACACACCTACTTTCCTAGAAGCTTTTCTAAGCCTTTGTGAATGTTACCTTGGAAATTTCACAAGACCCACATTTCCCTTGTACTTTATACTGTGCCTTTTTCTCCCATTAAGAAAGTCTTTTGTGATGAACAAAGGTCTTTGTAATTGCAGTATCAGATTCAGTGAGGGGAAAAAAATACCAGATTCCTATTAAGATCAAAGAAAAGACAGTCTCAGCACAATCATTCTGACCCTATAGGATGTATTCTTCATCATCATTAAGTCAAGAGACAAGAGATATAAACCACTTAGCTTGGATGGAGTTGTTCACAATTCAGAGGGGATACCTGTAGTAGATGTGCAGTTGTGTCCAAGATGACCCAGCAAAGTCATCTGTACTATGCACAATGGCTCAAAGCCCCTGTTTGGTTCCTAGCAGGCTCTCTATCAGCACAGACTTGACCATGTAATGTAGTTGTAGACTGAGAGGGAAATTTGAACTTCTTCAAAGCTATATATGGCTCAAGTGTTGCAATTTTACTTTAATCCATGCAGTGACCCCAGGCTTTCCATGAATGAAAGGCAATATGATATTTTTAAACATAAACTTGACATGCTTTTCACTCCACTGGAAACCTCAGCTTGTGGATGGAGCTTTATGGAAATTCAGTTGTGTCTGTACCTCCATCCTAGAGAAGCTACAGGTTATTGGACCCATTTATGTTATTTTACCTTTTTTATATTTAAAGTCAAACAAATGACCCACACCCTACAGACATAGGAAGCCTGAGTAATTGCTAGCATTGTGAGCAATTGAAAGAGAACCCTCATTCTAATAGTTTTATATTCTTTATATATATATATAACTTTTATTTTATTAATGCATCCAGCACTGTAATAATATGAGTAACACAAAACTATACAAATGTATTCTGTATGAATGCTAACAAATACCGTTAATATCTCAATAGTTACAAAGCAAAACAATAGGCTTTTTCCCATATTCACCTTGACAAATTGAAAGTTGCTGTGAGGAAAATGTTTCTAGTCTTCTAAAGTTAGTGCAGTTTTATCATCCAGTTTATAAATGAGTGTTATCATATATAAGGAATAGAAACAAATACCCTA